CCACCTTAATCTTCTTGTATACATTGTGGTCGATTCAAGTAATATCCCTTATTAACTGCATTCAAATACCTCCAACCAGACGTTCCTCCATCATGACGCACTTACAATTTTTTATTTTTTTATTTCTTTTGTTTTTTATTTCTTTTGTTTTTGTATTTTTTTATTTATTTGCGTTTTTCGCGTATTACTTTGTTAATACTTCAGTCATAACGGCGGACACGTCGATGGTGAGTCGAATGTTTATACTCAAATTGACTCCCACATCGTCTCGGCAACGAGTGGCCGCATTGTACAGTGCCCATGACAGTGACAAGCCATCATCCATGGTAGAATTTGGCAACCTACGTAGTGACTCCATCGGGTTTACTGTAGCACCATTAACGAGCAATAATGACAGCCACGTAATGTTGCTACCTTCCTCGGTGATAATGGGCAGCTTTGACACAATGTTGTTCCACTCTTGTTCCACAAACGTCGACGTACGCGCCAGCTCATTCACAGGCGACACGGGAATCATTTGAATGCCGTGGATTGCATATACCTCGTCAAGAAACCATGTGTTATAATACACCTGGTTATCAAAGAAGATGCCCGTGACGTGATTGCGTACAATTTCGGGTGGATGAACGACATTGTCGAGCTTGAGCAAAAAGTACGTACAAATAGCATGAGCATTTAGTCGAAGCATCAGACTTCCAAGATCTTCCACAGCACTCTTACCCGTCACTTTGCCCCACATTGTCATGCCGTAATAGAAGTTGATATCTTCTGATGTACTCTCCTCGTCTTTTCCATTGTTGATTGAAGTCACACCATGAGAGTACGAATGAGCTAAGTACCATGAAAAGTGACGGAAACGAGGAAAGTACTTGTCTTCCTTGCTCGGGTTGACGACGTCACGCATCATCGTCCAAATCATCGCTTCCAATTCTGGCATGCGAGACCATTTTGGGTCTAGATGCTTGAACATGGCTGCTGCCACTACAAAGTAGCCGTAGTGGTAGTGGTGGTCATTGTAAATACCATTGCCGAACTCCTGATAGATGCTGTTTGTCCGAAAAATGGAGCTTGAAATTAGGCCACGGTACAGCGTGTCGTACATGAGCGGCGGGGACAGCGTGTTATTTAATATTGGTTCGAACAACTTTTCTAGCTTCTTCAAACAAAATGACAGCAGCAACTTGTCTGTACCAACAACAGCAGGATCTGATGCCATTAAACATAGTGATGCGTACTTCTGAATCGATTTGCCATTAAAGTACCATGTATCGACATCAAAGCCCGTCCAGTTACCCATGATATCCCTTTGTAGCGTACGCAACATGTCGGTCTCTACAACAAGCCACGGTGATGGTCTGCGGACAGGGTAAAAGTCGATATCAAAATTTGCCTCAGGTTCATGGAACACCCATTGTGGATTTGTCGTCACCTGACCCACCATGCGACCACGTGTAGCCGAGTTTAATATAATTGCACCTGGCGTCGTTGTTTGAATGACTGTTCCAGTCAATGACTCAAGTTGGTGTTGCAGTGCAAAGTGCAGAAGACCCACAGTCTGACAAGTACTGCCCTCAACTTGCCAATTCAATGAGTACTGTGTGCGTGACTCCATCGACACGGTGCCGCCCAGCACCATGCATCCTGCGTACTCGTCGTACATTGTATTATCAGTACAGTTTTCCGGTAGTAACGCTAATCGGATCGTGCCGGTATATCCCTTGCCTGCCACCAGAGAGGATCCTGTGGCGTTTACAGAAAACATTACTGACCTCTCGACACGAAGCGAGAGGCTGTTGTCGCTCGCATATAATACCCACGTTTGCGTATTGTTTAAGTAAATTATAAACTTGCCCGGCACCGAGTCGTCCACGTATGTGATGTTGTGTTCAGTATCAATGCGAGGTGTGAGTCCGCTGTACTTGGCCGAGACAAAGGCCATGCCACTTACTAATGCCGAATCCATGCACTTGCCGCTGGTTACGTCACACGTACGTAACTTGGCACCTCCTTCGTCCCATTCATAAACCTCGTACACAGGCTCATCGTAACAAAATTGTTCGGAAGACAGCGTCAAGTCATTGTGGTATGTGTGATTGTATCGTTTAAAAGTACCGTTTTTTGGTGGTTCGAAGACCCTGTGTGTGTAGGAATAGAATATTTGAAGTCCATACGGCGCCTCGCGTGGCAGCTTGACGGCGTACGGGTTTGCCCATGCTGGGTGATTAGATACGTTTAGGGTATCCGTGACGTGGATGAGATTGCACCACCAGTCATTCGTTGGGATAGCCTGGTTTAGCGCTTTCTTGGCGACGTTGAGAATCGGTACAATGTCCTTGAGACTGTCGTTGTGAACGAAGAGTTCTTTTGAAAGTCCTTCAATTCCAAATGGCGCAAAGTAACCGCCGCTGGAAATATCTTGCTGAACAGCGGGGCTTTCATCTGATATGATAGGGTCGGGTTTGCCGACCAATTTCTCAGTAGCACCCTGCAGGGTACTTTGATTGAACTTGTAATTTTCTTCAACAACATTATCAATAATTGACGCTTCTGTGTGATAAGTTGCGACGGCAATTCCAAAAACTTGCAATAGGCCAACCATGTTGTGCAATCTTTTCTTTCGCTGTCGACGTCTAGAACGGATGTTTGTGATGAAGTGGGCAATGGCGTGCGCAGTTGGTGGCTAATTTAGAAGTGAGCTTTTCGACATTTGTCCACAATGGTGGAAGGCTAGAAATACGGTCCGAGCAACTACCTTGTTCATGTGGAAGAACAGTGGACTCAATATCAAAAACGCATGTACCGTCGAATTAGCGATCTGGTTTTTGGCTAATATAGCAGACCCTCTACAAGACAGGATAGTACTATTTACTAATCAAGATTAGAGTTTAGATCACTGTTCAATTAGCTTAAGAAAGTAGACAATACCTTTCCTGCAGGTAGGCATACCTTTCCTGCAGGTACAGCAAATTCGATGGAATTGGTGGGATCCTTGGAACGTTCGACTTGATTGGTTTCCCCTTGCTTCGAAAAACAGAAGCATGTCGGACCAGAATTTAAGCAGAAAAAAATGCTTTTGTGGAATGCAAAGAAGCCATCGCTCACACAGGATCAGCTCGCTTAACGGACACAACAAAAGTTTGCACAGATCAGAAGGCCGCTCAAAGAACCATTTCGTCAATTTTATCGCGAACATGTCGCTATCAAAATGGCTGAGAAATGGATTTGCAAGCGCGTCGTTCGAGAATGCTTAGATTTTAGAGCTTAACGCTGTGTTGCGAATCGGGTGCTTCATGGTCAAGCACGGTGAAGTATAGTGGTTGAACACGGTAGGCAAAGAGAGCTTAACTGTTCAAGCAAATGTCTTCTAGTGAGACAGGCAAACCGTCCTTTTTAATGGATGGCTGGATTTCTTCCAGAGACGTCAGTGCCTTAAACACTCATGTCGTCTGCCGAAAAAGGAAGATATTTTTTTCTAAATCAACTTAGGCGCATTTATGCAGCAGTGAAAGATTATATGCTGGCTGACATCTATAAATTCTTCGAAACGGGACTATTTGTCAATCAGTGCCCTGATCAAGTAGCTGTCCGCACTGAAATTTGCGATAGAATCGTAAGACTCACCAGCACGCATTACATCGAGTGGCAGCCAATAGAAAGGGCACTTACGACGCCGACGAGGTAGGTTAAGTGAGCTTATGCTGAATTAAGTGAAGCACACAGGCGTCATACAAAACAACCTCTACGAGGATACATGTAAATCTTTCACTTCCGCACAACCGTGCACGTACAACTGTACGAAAGTTAAAAAGTAATTGTGGATATCAGAATGACCAGACTATCGATACAAATGAAAGTGATGAGAATTCGTAAAGGAGAGATTTGTGGTACGCGCGCTGTTCGCCTCACATGAGGTATTAAAGATAGCTTTACTGTTGGATATAGAAAATGTATATATTTAGTGGTGGTTAAATCTGAATTCAGGACCCTTTCAAAGTAGTACCTTGACCAAAGAAAACATGTTTGTTTTAGAGGCCTTGGCTCCGCTCTTGAATGTAGCGTGCGATTCCAACCTATGTGCGGTTTAAAGCGGAATTTATGAGCAAAGCTTCCTCTGCGCAAAATGCGCGGAACTTAGTCGCACGTATAGTCAATTCTTGTGGAAAACTATATGCTCTGTGAGGAAGGAGTACGAGATATATGAATACCTGTCTTTGCTGGCAACACCTTGGCACGTTTAAAAGGCTTATGTCTATTGTTGGTTTTGAAGGGATTTGGATACTGGAGGCTTAAGACAGAAGTGAGGACCCTCATCAGCTGGATAATACGCTGTTGAAACTCCCAGAAGCACTTCATCCGGTCCTCGGTTGAAGCACAGATGACACACGCCGCGAACCCACTCATGTTTAGTGTTAAACTCGTTCAAGCTAGGAATGGATTTTTTCTGGATGAGGGAATTTGAGATAGCCGCGAGTTTGGCCATATGCATTATTGCGACACATGACTCTAATGGTCTTCAAGCTCGAAAGTCAAACACAGAATTGAGCAGTTACTTGTGGTACCTCTATAGAAGAGCTATTTTCGACACGGGAAAGGATTCAGCAACAGATTTTGCGAATTTTTTCTGCGCTACATAGCCAGGTGGTTCGTGTACAATCGAGATCATTCTCCATATGTGAAGGAAAGAGTTAGAACACAAAATATGTCTAACAGCTGAGACCTCAAATAGACGGTAATTTGGTAGAGCCTCTTCCAAAAACAGAACAGCTTACCTTTCCATTCAATGAATCTTACTGGTGCGGCTCGCAACGAAACCTTTTCGCCCAGCCCGCGTTTCAAAAAGTAGTGGGTGTAGCAACTCGATGTAGAGTACAGCTTCCGTGCCACAAGAACTGTCTAGGTATGGAAGGCATGATCGGCGCCAGAATCGATTGACCACAGCCAAATTGTGGAAGAAGACAGTAGTCACTTAATTGCTCTGCAGCACTGTGGTAGTCATAGAAATAACACCCGTGGCAATATGAAACATCTGCGCCCACCCCATTCTGTCTCGGTAATAAGAAATAAAGACTCGGCCGACAAACCCGTTCGCGGTGAAGCTTCGAGACCTAGTAGATGCGAGGGCGGTTATATAGTACCTCACTGAGATTAAGAATGGAACTCAGCCGTAACAAAGCGACTTTTAGTAGAGGGGATGCTATAAATTCAGGGTTGATGGCTGGCAACACAAATGCTTGGGCTCTATGAAGCCGTAGAAAGTCCGGATAGAATTAGGAATGTCGTGCAATTGCACAACACGCGCAACTGCTTATACAGCACGTAGAGGCATTGAAAAGTCAAATGCAAATACGATGTACGTGCGCTTTGCTATGAACACACTGGGTATAGCTTTGAAGGTTATGTGGAGTCCTCGTATACGATCAAGAGCTTTGAAAGGATTGGGTGCTGGTTGAGCCTTGATTCAAATATGAGGCACGAATCGTTCATTGCATGGCGTGCTGAAACGTAAGGAACCACGGAACGACTCGAAAACAAAACATCGAGAGCCATGTACTCCTTTGCCTAGTGGGGCTGTGGTGAGTCATGATCCCATTATACTAGAAAGTCGAAGCGCTTTCAGCGCGTGCATGAAGCTGCTGTAACTTCGGTGGAGATCAGATTATCCGCAATAGTTCGCAACGATATGGCTAAGAACGTTGATTCAAGCGAAGAATCCGAAAATGGAAGTGCATTGCGGTGCCCATATTAGGTAGGAAGTAGCGATCTTACACCGCGGTCTACAT